TGACTTATGATTTCGAAGTTATAGCTGACAAAAAATTCCACGCTTACGGGATGTGCCACGCCCCCTTTTACAAACTCATTTATTTACAGCCTACTATAAGAACCTTCCATAGCTTAGCCTGCGTACCAAATTTAAAGTTCATGTAACTTATGCTTTCGAATTTATAGCTGATAAAAAATCCACAACTACGGGATGTGGCGGTTCACGCCTCCTCTTACAAACTCCTTCATATATACCTTCCTATAAGCACCTTCCGTAGATATGCCTGTATACCAAATTTTAAGTTTATGTGGCTTATGGTNGATATACCTTACTATAAGCGCCTATCATAGATATGTCTGCATCCCAAATTCAAAGCTCATGTGACTTATGATTTCGAAGTTATAGCTGATAAATATTCCACGCCTACGGGATGTGCTACGCCCCCTTTTTTAAACTTATTGATATACACCTTACTATAAGCATCTACCGTAGCTGTGCCTGCATACCAAAATTCAAGTTCACGGGGCTTATGGTTCCGAAGTTATAGCTGATAAATATTCCACGCCTATGGGATGTGCCACGCCCTCTTTTACAAACTCATTTATATATATCTTATTATATGCGCCCACCATAGATATGTCTGCAACCCAGATTAAGAGTTCATGTGACTTATGATTTCGAAGTTATAGCTGATAAAAAATTCCACGCCTATGGGATGTGCCACTCCCCATTTTATAAACTCATTCATATACACCTTACTTATAAACGCCTACCGTAGCTGTGCCTGCATACTAAATTTCAAGTTCATATGACTTATGATTTCGAAGTTATAGCTGACAAAAAATTCCACGCTTACGGGATGTGCCACGCCCCCTTTTACAAACTCATTTATTTACAGCCTACTATAAGAACCTTCCATAGCTTAGCCTGCGTACCAAATTTAAAGTTCATGTAACTTATGCTTTCGAATTTATAGCTGATAAAAAAATCCACAACTACGGGATGTGGCGGTTCACGCCTCCTCTTACAAACTCCTTCATATATACCTTCCTATAAGCACCTTCCGTAGATATGCCTGTATACCAAATTTCAAGTTTATGTGGCTTATGGTTTCGAAGTTATAGCTGATAAATATTCCACGCCTATGGGATGTGCCACGCTACCTTTTACAAACTCATTTATATATACCTTATTATAAGCGCCTACCATAGATATGTCTGCATTCCAAATTCAAAGTTCATGTGACTTATGATTTCGAAGTTATAGTTGATAAAAAATTCCACACCTATGGGATGTGCCACGCCCCCTTTTACAAACTCATTTAGATATACCTTACTATAAGCGCCTATCATAGATATGTCTGCATCCCAAATTCAAAGCTCATGTGACTTATGATTTCGAAGTTATAGCTGATAAATATTCCACGCCTACGGGATGTGCTACGCCCCCTTTTTTAAACTTATTGATATACACCTTACTATAAGCATCTACCGTAGCTGTGCCTGCATACCAAAATTCAAGTTCACGGGGCTTATGGTTCCGAAGTTATAGCTGATAAATATTCCACGCCTATGGGATGTGCCACGCCCTCTTTTACAAACTCATTTATATACATATATCTTATTATATGCGCCCACCATAGATATGTCTGCAACCCAGATTAAGAGTTCATGTGACTTATGATTTCGAAGTTATAGCTGATAAAAAATTCCACGCCTATGGGATGTGCCACTCCCCATTTTATAAACTCATTCATATACACCTTACTTATAAACGCCTACCGTAGCTGTGCCTGCATACTAAATTTCAAGTTCATATGACTTATGATTTCGAAGTTATAGCTGACAAAAAATTCCACGCTTACGGGATGTGCCACGCCCCCTTTTACAAACTCATTTATTTACAGCCTACTATAAGAACCTTCCATAGCTTAGCCTGCGTACCAAATTTAAAGTTCATGTAACTTATGCTTTCGAATTTATAGCTGATAAAAAAATCCACAACTACGGGATGTGGCGGTTCACGCCTCCTCTTACAAACTCCTTCATATATACCTTCCTATAAGCACCTTCCGTAGATATGCCTGTATACCAAATTTCAAGTTTATGTGGCTTATGGTTTCGAAGTTATAGCTGATAAATATTCCACGCCTATGGGATGTGCCACGCTACCTTTTACAAACTCATTTATATATACCTTATTATAAGCGCCTACCATAGATATGTCTGCATTCCAAATTCAAAGTTCATGTGACTTATGATTTCGAAGTTATAGTTGATAAAAAATTCCACACCTATGGGATGTGCCACGCCCCCTTTTACAAACTCATGTATATATACATACCTTACTATAAGCACCTACCTTAGCTGTGCATACCAAATTTCAAGTTCGTGTGCCTTATGATTTCGAAGTTATAGTTGATAAAAAAAATCCACGCCTATGGGATGCACCACGCCCCCTTTTACATATAAACTCATTCATATACACCTTACTATAAGCACCTACCATAGCTGTGCCTGCTGCGTACCAATTTCAAGTTCATGGGGCTTATGGTTCCTAGTTAAACGAGAAATGTCTGTCGGTTAACACCTTACAACGTACATATCTATTACCTGAATTAATGCGAATTTTCTTCAACAATTGAATTACTCAAACTTTGTAAACATATTTTCCTTCATTGAATTGTTAATTCTAAAAGTTAAATCATTTCAAAATTGTTAACACTAAACTTGAGTCATTCAAAAATGTTAAACCTTATATTCTTATGCCTTTCAAGACATAAGAATATAAGGTGTGTTGAGGTTTATTACACATTGGGCATTTGTATGGTTTTGTGCGTTGTTCCGTCATGTGCGCTCGGATTTGGGAAAAGGAGTTGTTGTGAGAGTTCTGAGGAATGGGGGTTTAGGGAATGGCCTACTGTTAGGGGGGGTTGGCCTCGAGTAGCTATATGTCGAAGGATTAGTCCGCGGAGGTTTGGGTGCACGAAATTGATCTACCTTTCAACCACCTCGTATCGGTAGTGAGGAATCTGGTTCATTTGGGCCATTCGGGAGGTCTTTCCTGGAACTGAGGGATTGCTCCCATAGGGCCACGGTGTTCTCAGGAAGCTTG